AAGTATTACTCCATATTCCCACAAGCAGTTACATCATGCAAAATTAATGCAATATAGCTCTAACTATTCTTGGAGGAGATACTTCTAAGTGTCGGGTCCAAAATGGGGAAACCTTACAGAGCGCTGGATTTACCTACATTTTTCAAATGTGTACAAACCATACCCATAGGATTGAAACTTTTCAGCATTTGCAGTAATCAGAAGCTTGGTCCACTAACTTCCAACAACATCACGAATGGCAGAGAGCTTGGATAAACTAACCTTTCCACAAACAGTCACGTATCAATTAATGGCGAGAATATGTTCTGAGAAATGTGTCATTAGGCGATTCTGTTGCTGTGCAAACATCCTACAGTGTACTTACACAAACCTAGATGGTAGAGCCTTCTACACACCTGGGCTACGCAGTTTAGCCTATTGTCCTAGGCTACCAACCTGTACAGCAGGTAACTGTACCGAACACTGTAGGCAACTGTAACACAATGGCGAGTATGGTCTCTAACATATCTAAACATAAAAAGGAACAGTATAGATATGGTATAAAAGATAAAAATGGTACAACTGTGTAGGGTACTTACCACGAATGGAGCTTGTGAGATTGCAAGTGCGCTGAGCGAGTCGGTGAGCAACCGTGAAGGTCTAGCCCAGGCGTCCTCAAACTACGGCCCGCCGGCCACATGCAGGTGTTTTTGCCCTTTTTTTTTTTTTTTTTTTTACTTCAAACTAAGATATGTGCAGTGTGCATAGGAATTTGTTCATAGTTTTTTTTTTAACACAATAGTCCGGCCTTCCAACGGTCTGAGGGACAGTGAACTGGCCCCTCGTTTAAAAAGTTTGAGGACCCCTGGCTGGGACGTTACTGAACACCACTGCAGACTTTGGAAACACCGTACTTTCAAGCTACACGAAATTTAGAAGAAAACATTTTTCTTCCTTCAATAGTAAATTAACCTTAGCTTGCTGTAACTTTTACAGTTTATAAACTTTTTACTTTTTTTTTTTTAACTTTTCGACTCTTTTGTAATAACCCTTAGCTTAAAACACAAACACATTGTACAGCTACGCAAAAGTATTTTCTGTCTTTAAATCCTTGTTCTATAAGGCTTTCTTCTATTACGTTTTTTTTTTTTCACTTGTAAACATTTTTGATAAAAACTGAGACACAAGCACACGCATTATCCCAGGCCTGCACAGGGTCATGGTCATCAATATTGTCATTTTCCACCTCCACATCTTGCCCTGCCGGAAGGTCTTCATGGGCAGTGACAGGCGTGGAGCTGTCATCTCCTAGACAGCAGTGCCTTCTTCTGGAAGCCCTCCTGAAGGGCCTGCCTGAGGCCGTGTTACAGTTAACTGAGGTCCCCGTGCTGCCACCAACCCTCAACTGTCCTCCCACAGGCCTATCCTGCCCCAAACGCAAGCACCATGCGCTACAGATTTCTGTGGTTTCTCAGCCCAGATGAAGCTCCTCACTCCCTCAGAGCTGTTTATCTCAGCCTGATTTAGCGGTGGGAGCCGTGTGAGTTACGGGCTACTTTGGTGGTGACGCTGCCTCCCGACCTACGTTAGTCCAGATGCCTCCAGGTACGAACAAGCAGGCCCTGACCCACACGGGCCTGGACAGTAAAGGCAACAAATAGGTCATCTTCATGCAACCGCAAGGTCACTGGTGGGAGGGGCGGTTCCGGATGCCCTGTGTCGGGCACACAACTTCACTTTTCTGGTTTTCTTGACTCTACTTTCCTCTCTGCGTTGGTTTTATCCGTGAGATGATACCAAAATAGCTGGTATGGATCAAGGTGTCACTGCCAGACACCATACGGTCAAGAATTATATGAGATGAACCTCTTTAGCAGAGACTCCTATGAAGAATAAGAACACCTTCTCCAGAAATTTCTCAGAAGGTATCTTCTTACATTTCATTGGCCCAAACCTGGTTGCCTGCCCATCCTTAAACCAAAAGGAATGGGCTGCCTTTGACTGGTTCCGGCTTGGGCTCTCATCCAATGGATTAGATGGATTAGGATTTACCTGCCTAAGGAGGTGACCTCGCTTGTGGTCTCCCTCAAACGCAAAGCTCTGTCATCACTGAGCGTATCAGTGTTCTGGGGCCACCGTAACAAAATACCGCAAACCAGGGAGCTTAAAACATCGGAAATTATGCTCTCATGCTTCTGGAGCCAGCGGCAGTCCCTCTGAAGCTTCCAGGGGAGAAACCCTCCTTGCCTTACCTGGCTTCTCTTGGCTTTTGGCAGCAGCACAACTCCAACCTGTCTCTGTCTTCACCTGGCCATGTTCCCACCAGCTGTGTCTGCATCCAAATTTCCCTTTTTCACACAAGACACCAGTCATGTTGGATCAGGGGCCCAGCCTACTCTACCAGTAAAACCTCATCTGAACTCATTACATCTGAAAGGACTCTATTTCTAAATATAATGAGGTAGTGGGCGTTAGAAATTCAACAGATAAATGTGGCGGGCAGGAAGACAATTCAACCCTTAACCCTGAGTGAGGAGGGAAATTCAACTTGGGGCAGGCAATGCGCAGCTTCTGCTATATTAACCTCCCCATTTTCCAGATTCCTCGTTAACCCCTAAGAGTATTTAGCTGGTAGAATTTCAGGCTGACCTAGGAAGTGAAATGCACATGTTTACGTGGAGGACAGGACGCTCTACCTGGAAGGAGACACCGTGGGCGTGGCCGCCACTGAGGGGCTTCCCCGAGCTGAGTCACCCCTACACTTACTGTCCCTGCTTCATCCCACTCTCTGCCTCCGCACCCAGCCATTCCCCAGAAAGCTGCTGCTGATTTGACAACTGGGCTTCAGAGGGAAGGGGGAGGGTTAAGCTGGGGTGCGGGGTGGTGACTCTGATTCCATGAAAATGTGTCAACTGGGTGTTTCTGAACCTCGGACACCTTGTATTCTATTCCAGGCACCGACCTGTCATGTCTGGGAAGGCCTTAAACTGCAGTTCAGGAAAGATGATGGTGACGATGAAAGCATTAGCAACATCAACCAACAGCAGCTGATGTTATTCTGCTCCTACTGCATGTCGGCATTTTGCTAAGTGAGTACATGTGATAGCTCGTGTTAGCCCCACAAGTGCCCCATGCCAGGGGTATTGTCACTGTCTCTGCTTCTCAGAGGTTTGCAGAGAGAGCAAGTGACTTGCCCCAGGTAACCTGGCTGGGAACCCGGGCAGTGTGCGTCTGGGCCGACTATTGACTGCAACGTTGTGTCACTTTGATTCATTTAGGTCACACATGCCTGAAGGCTGCAATAAGAGTGTGGACGTGAAGCAAAGGTAATGAAATATCAAGACCTAGTTTTCAATAAACCTAGCCTACCGCCTGATTTATGGGTGCTCGCTCCTCCTTCCTGGGTCTTCGTGTGCTCGGTTACATTTAGTTCGATGCTCTGAGACAGGCTGCACAAAAAGCACAGCGTCTGGTCTTTCTCTTGGGCCCTCCAGGGTGCGATTTTCTGGAATAGTAGTTCCTAATCTTCTCTGGGTCATGAGATCCCTTGAGGCCATCATGAAGGCTACGGTTTCTTCCCAGAAACACACATACATTTTTGCATATGATTCCCAAGGTCCCTCATGGGGCATCCCTAGATTATTGGGTTTCCCGAGAAGAGATTTGGAAACCTTGATGCACAAGCTCTCAGATGTAAAGCAATGGTGGGAAAATAGCGTGCGGGCTGTCTGGCACATTCAAGCTATCTTGGCGGTTTAAGGAAGATCAGCAAAAAAAAAAAAAAAAAAAAGCAATTTAATGATGTTATATTTTCAAACTTTACTTCCCCTTCCTCCAGAGAGCAAAACAAAGGGAAGACAAGGCCGCATCTCTTGTTCTTAGAATAAAGGGGGCCCTGCCGGAGTGACCATGAGGAACCTGAGACGTTAGGTGGGACTGATTAAAGGCCACCGCAGCTTCACCCTGGGGGCAGCTTGGGGCTGTGCTGTTTCCTCCTAGAGTTTCACGGAGCCTCGCCGCAAGAACGAGAGAAGATTGTACTCTAGCTAACTGGGTGTGAGGGTCCAGTTCTGTGGGTCCCGGTGGCAGTGGTAAGCACAGAAAGCAACAGGGGTTGACTGGAATATCCAGGGATAGATACAGATCCTTTCCAGGGAAGGAGATAGACTTTTGCATTTCAAGCCCAACATACCCGCCATGGCAACGGAAAGCTGTAAGAGCAGCCTGGGTTGCTATGGGAACGCAGGGGTGTACACAGTGGTTTCATGGACCTTGGAGAATCAACAGGGAAGGGACAGGGCTGAGGGATGAAAAATTACCTGTTGGGTACAGTGTACACTATTCAGGTGATACGAATTACCTGTTGGGTACAGTGTACACTATTCAGGTGATATGTACATAAAAGCCCAGACTCCACCACTATATAATTCAACTATATAACCACAAAACACTGTACCCCTGAGTCTATTGAAGTTTTAAAAAGGTTCAATCACGCTGTGGCAATCAGTCCAGAAAAAAAGGCCATACCCCGAGGATAGTCAGATCAAATCTGAGTGCGCTGGTGCATGTACACATGTGCACATGCATGTACATACTTCTAACAGCACAGAGATCTGACAGGCTGGATGACCCAGGGACCTGCCCAGCGTGAGCAGGAGGGGAGACAGGCTGCAGGGCCCGGGCGGACTGCAGCCCGTGGGGCAGGCTCCGGGAACCAGGCACGTTCATTAGATTCCAGGAGTAGCCGAGTCTCCAGGGAAGCGCCTGCCCTGTTTGATAAGCAATGCTCTTTTATGCTGCGTGCAGGGATCAGAGAGCACCTATGCAGAGCAGCACACAAAAGAAGAGCTGCCTGCTCGTCATGGGCTACAGATCCACGCTGAATCGGTCTTCCTGGGAACACACGGCTTCAGAGTGGCCAGTGGCGGGAAGCTGGGGGCAGGGAGGATGCAATTTTGGCACCTGGGACAAACATGAGCGACAGCCATCCATTTATGAGATCCAGTGGTTTGGGGAGCTATTTTCTTAGCATAAAAGACCACGTTTTCCAGACCTCAAATGGTCACTGCTATGGGGGAAGAGTCCTGATCTCAGGGTGCAGCCAGACTTCTGCAGCCCCAATGGGCCTGGGGTGAGGGGTGCAATGCCATCCTCAGAGACCAAATCTGGCTGCAAGCAGAGCCTGCTCCCCCTGCCTTTTCAACCAAACTGGAAGGATTTGCACGGATTAATTTTCTATCCCACTGATTGCTTTCCATGGCAGCCCCATGCATGGTTGCCTGCTCTAGTCTTTGCCCATAGCCTCAGCATGTTGATTCAAAAAAAGAAAAGAGGTGTGTGTGGTGGGTATTTTCTGTTAAAATGCTTTATTTTGGGGGTATATTTTGAAAGCCCATGAGAAAACTTCCCAGATAAGACCCTCAGCCCATGCACGATTCCTAGCATTAAATTATTTTTTTACTTTTTAGAATTTGAATATTAAGATTTTAAGGAATTAAAAATACCAGAAGCTTGAAGCCGAAATGGTTTGTAAAACCAGCCATGGGTTATTAAGAACTGGTAAAATTAATGTATTTAAAGGCATCTCTCCCCTAATAGTTGGTATTGGTTTGAGAATCTAAGAATCATTTCTCCTTGGAGTATGGCCATTTGCAATGCTTCCCTCCCTAATCTCCTCCACGTGCTATATGAAACTCAGTCACCTCCTGCCTTGGATCTTTCAGTTTCTTGTGTCTGCTTTCTCTGCTCCCACTCCCTGGAATACCCCTCCTAGCCCAACAATCCTACCTTTTGAATCCCATGTATCATTTAAGACTGACATTAGATTCTACAACAGTCTCTTCTTAGTCAACTCAGACTGCAAAATGTATTTCTAAACAACTCCATTTCAGAACCATGATCTGTTTTACAATACATAAGTTTAGCAAATAAATACTTTGATACTTTTACTATTCTGTTGGAAATAATTAACTAACTAAAATAAATTCTTAGTGAATTATGATGCCTACTAATTTGTGTGGCTCACCTTTAAATATCACACACAGACACAAACACACAAACATACACACCTCACTGAAATTCACTTTTAAATCCACTCCTCTAAATAAATGATATGGCAGAAATATTTCCAAACTATTAATAGCAGAATGAATATTAAACATAGAGGAAGCCTTAATAAAGGCTTCTAGTCAAGAAGAAATCACAATCACAATTATATAAATGGATATAAACTACTCACTGCAAACTAAACACACGATGATTTGTTAATAAGCATGATTCAGTAAAAGTTGGTTCACTTTATATCCTTTTCTTGGTGTCAGTTACCAAAGCGTGAAAAACCCTTTATCACAAGGGACACTTTCCTATAAGCTGGTCCAGCAGCACAGACCCTAAGCCTGGTACCACACACTCTGTCTCGTAGTTGTTTGCTGTTGGTAATGAGGTTTCCAGTCACTTGATTTCATAATGATCTTTAAAAAGAAAACTATGGACAAGCCAGCATGCAATTAATAAGATGCACACAAAAAAAGGATTTAGCAAAGTACACATCTGAGACCATGTATTTACAAATGTGGGCGCTAAAGGCAGAGACCTACTCATCTGCTAGGTTGCCCAGAGCCAGTGGCTCCAAGACCTGTAGGGAGAGAAGAATGTGACTACTCCCTGCTCCAGGCACGAGGGCCCCGGGCATGACAAGCTATTGACAGCTGCATGGACTTTCACCATCCTCTTCAATTGTGTTTCTAAAACAGCAAAACTTCAAACCCAGCTATGGTGAACCATTGGTCTTATTATTATTTTTTTTTTCCAACAGGTATGTATGGAGACAATGGAAATATCTAAGCCCCCAAAGACCTATGTAGGTAAAACGAAGCATTTCTTCTTCCTTACTTTTAACCGTGAGGTACATGGACTTGCTGACGTCTGCGCCCACATCGTTGCTGACCTTGCAGAGATAGTAGCCGCTGTCTTCTTCCACGACATGCTTGATCAGCAGCGACCCGTTGCTGAGAACCTGGATCCGGCCGTTCAGCGCGATTGGCTGAAACTGGGGAACCCCAGCACCTGGGGCAGAATAAAGGAGAAGAGGAATGAAGATGCAAAGATGAATAAGTATGGACAAAACAATGAACTCAAGTTCACCAGCCTAGTAAACAGAAGCAATGGGTGCTTAATACATATCACATACGGCAGTCACGAGATACACCAGGTTTTTCTTTCTTTCCTCCGAACATTGAGATTCTTGTTTAGAGAGAAACATTTATGTATAATGACAGTATTTCAAACTGATATAAAAAGTAAGAGAGTTTACAGATAGTTTCTACATAAAAAGGCAAAGTTGATGAGCGTTAAGTAGCTGATAAATTATTCAAAGAAATCACAGTAGAACAACCACAGAAGCAGACATCTCTCATGGCACTAAGTAACTCCTTGTGTTCCTAGGGACTTAATGTGAGTGTAAACAAGGAGTGCTCCGGGGACATGGCATTTGAAGTCCTTGCTTACTGCACACATCCACAGAAGTATTGCAGATTTATCTTCTAAGTGTACTTATATTCTGCCCTACAGGCACAACACACTGCCCATATCGTTTAATGTCATTTAAATAAACAAGTCAGGCTATTGTATGAAGACAGCACAGAATCAAAACACCACTCTCCTCCGAGTGCTTACATGCAAGGAGAGAATGGCACTGATGTGATATGCTGTGATCACACATGTGATACGATTCATATGGAAGATCCTTAGTAAACCATGTTGAAAAGAAAGTATTTTAGGAATAATGAAACAGAGGATTAAGGTCCTGGGAAATTCCCAGGAAGGTGGTGGTTTGGATTAACGTGCCATGCTGCCTGCCTCCCTCCTGGGGGCATTGGCTGGGACCAGGAGGATGTGCTCCAGGTCCTGAAAGGCTCTTTGAGGGCTTCTTTCTTCTCTAACTCGAGAGCCTGGGGACGTAGGGGGAACCCCCTGGGGTGATAACCATTGGGTCTTCCTGGAGGAAGCTCAAAGTGTGGCCAAAGGTGTGTTCTGGAGAGCAGCTGCTAACTCGTGGGTCCCAGAACCTGCATGGGGGCTGAACGAGTGGCTGTCTCCACACTCCTCATGCAGGGAGCTTCAGATTTTGCATGTGAGGACACTCGAGGCAGAGACACTTCCTCCCACCATCTCCACCTGCAACTGCAAACTTGCCTATTGGTACCCTTCAAGCTCACGACGACAAAGACTGGCTGTGCCTTCCCTTCCCTTGTTTCTGGTTCAAGTATCTCGGCAGTTGGACCTGAGTCTCACAAAAGAAACTAATAATGTATCTAAGGGGACCTTTCACACTGAATAAGAAGAACAAGCAGGGTCCCTATAACAGGTGGTTTCTATCAAAATAGAACTGCTAGAGGGTACATATGACAACTTGAATTTAAAAACAAAAAAGAGTTCCACTTCTGCTAAAGATGTAGAAATCCACAAAAGAATGTTAGTTCCACTCTAACAATGAAGAAAAGACCATTAATCTACAAAATCATGCTGTATTTTGAATGAACCAGGTATTTGAAGTTATCATGGATAACTAGGTAAACTTAGCACTAAAGAGTTAAAAGCCCTAGAGAGGTGTGGGACATATAAACAAATTCACCTGTGGCACAGGATGACAGGATGAGAGTATAGGCATAAAAGTGAGTGAGAGGAAAACTAGAAATAACTATAACTTTCCTCAGTTTCTACTCTTCTTTATATATACAATGGCTAGAATGCAATAAAAGTTATGAGACGCATACCAAAAAAAGCAAGAACAAAGGGCCATAGAATAAACAGTCAACAGAATCATACAAAGATTAGCTGGAACTATGGGACACAGACTTACACTAGTCATGATTAATATGCATGATAGAAGGACTGAGTTGAAATATTAAAACTATAAAAAAGCAGAAAGAGAGACAAATAAAATGATAGAACACTAACACAATATTACATATGAAGAATTAGTGACGGGGGCTAAGCAGCAGACTGGACACAGCAGAGAAAAGAATTAGGCCAACAGAAATTATCCAAGGTGAAACAAAAGGAGCAAAAGTGCCTATTGCACTTTTACAGAAGAGATCCTCCGAGAGCTCTGGAGCAGCATACAGTAGTCTAACATTGAGTCATTACAGTTTCAGAAGGAGAAGAGAGAAAGAAAGGGGAAGAAAAAAATAATATTGAAACATAAAAGGCTTTAATACTACTAACAATCAACTTGACTTAATTGATATTTTGTAGAAGTCTACGCCCAATAAAAGCAGAATACATATGAGTCTCAAGTGCCCATGCAGTGGACTGAGTGTGGACTGCAGTGGACTGAATGTTCACGTGCCCCCAGATTCAAATGTGGAAATCCTAATGCACAATAGAATGGAGGTGGGGCCTTGGAAAGCTGATTAAATTATGAGGCAGGGGTCCTCATGAATGGGATTAGTACCCTTTTAAAAGGAATCCCCCAAAGCTTCCTTGCTTTTTGTCCACATGTAAGAATACAAAGAGAAAAATGAAGTCTTCAACCTGGAAGTGAGCCCTCACCAGAACCTGACTATGCCTGCACCCTAATCTCAGACTTTCAGCATTCAGAACTGTGAGAAAGAAGTTATTGTTTAAGCCGCCCAGTTATGGTACTTTGGTATAGCAGCCTAAACAGACTAAGACAGTTACCAGAAAAGACAATTGTGGGCCATAATACAAATTTCAACAAATGTAATAAGTTAAAATTAATGCAAAGTATGTTCTATTTCCACAGGAAAATTAAAATCAAAATCAATAACAGAAATATACCTGAACAAAGTCCAAATATTTGAAAATAAAACAGCATATTTTTAAATAACTTATGAGTCAGAGAAGAAATCACCAGTGATGTTAGAAAAAATAAACATTTTGAGTTGAATAAATATGAAAATAAAAGAACATGTTAAAATTTGTGAAGTGCAGCTAAAAGAAAGACTTAGACAGAGGTTTGTTGCATTAAATGCCTGTATTCAAAAAGAGAAAAAGATTATACAATGATAAATGTTCACCTTAGGAAGTGACTACAAAATGTAGAAATAAAGAGGGAAACTGACATCAATGAAATACAAAACAAAAAGAGAAAATCAGTAAAACCAAAAGCTTTTTCATGATAAAACCCTCAACAAACTAGGCATAGAAGAAACAAAACTCAAAATAATAAAATCCATACATGACAAACCCACAACCAACATCATACTGAATGGGGAAAAGTCAAAAGCATTCTCACTAAGAATGGGAAAAAGAGAAGGATGCCTATTTTTACCAATTATTTTATTTTTCTTTTTGACAGAGTCTCACTCTGTCACAGACTTGAGTACAGTGGTGTAATCATAGTTCACTGCAGCCTCAAACTCCTGGGTTTAGGGGATCCTCCTGCCTCAGCCTCCCAAGTAGCTGGGACTACAGGCATGTACCAGCATACCTAGATAATTTTTATATATTTTTAGAGATAGTGTCTTGCTATGTTGCTCAGGCTGGTCTCAAACTCCTGGCCTCAAGTGATCATCCAGTCTTAGCCTCCCAAACTGTTAGAATCACATGTATGAGCCATCATGCCAGCCTCACTTTTTTTTTTTTTTTGAGTCAGAGTCTCACTCTTTTGCCTCGGCTAGAGCGCCATGGCATCAGTTTAGCTCACAGCAACCTCCAACTTCTGGGCTCAAGCGATCCTCCTGCCTCAGCCTCTGGAGTAGCTGGGCCTACAGGCATGCGCCACCATGCCCAACTAAATTTTTCTATATATTTTTAGTTGTGTAGCTAATTTCTTTCTATTTTTTATAGAGACAGGGTCTTGCTCTTGCTCAGTCTGGTCTTTAACTCCTGAGGTCAAATGATCTGCCTGCCTCGGCCTCCCAGAGTGCTAGTAGTATTACAGGTGTGAGCCACCATGGTCCCAGCCTCATTTTTACCACTTCTATTCAACATACTGTTAGAAGTCCTAGCCAGAGCAATCAGGCAAGAGAAAAAAAATAAAGAACATCCAAATGGAAAAGAAGAGGTCAAATTTCCCCACTTGCTGATGATATGATCTTTTATCTAGAAAACCCTGAAGACTCCCCAAGAAAACTCCTAGAACTGATAAATAAATTCAGTAAAGTCTCAGGTTATAAAATTAATGTACACAAATCATTAGCATTTCTGTAGACTAATAACAGCCAAGCTGAGAATCAAATAAAAAACTCAATACCATTCACAATAGCTGCAAAACAAGTAAAATACCTAGGAATATACTTAACCAAAGAGGTGAAAATTCTCTACAAAGAGAACTACAAAATACTAAGAAATCAGAGATGACAGAAACAAATAGAAAAACACCCCATGCTTATGGATGGGAAGGGGAGATATTGTTAAAATGTCTCTCCATACTTCCCAAAGTAATTCAAAGATTCAATGCTATTCCTATCAAAATACCAATTTCATTTTTCATAAAACTAGAAAAAACAACCCTAAGTTTCATATGGAATAAAAAAAGAGCTCAAACAGCCAAAGCAATCCCAAAAAAACAACAACAATAACAATGAAAAATTTGAGGCATCACATTACCTGACTTGAAATTATACTATTAATGCAAGGCTACTGTAACCAAAACAGCACAGTACTTGTATAAAATTAGACACACAGATCAAGGGAATATAACAGAGAACCCAGAAATAAAACCATATACCTACAACCACTTATTTTTGACAAAGTAGATAAAAACATACACTGGGGAAAGAATCCCCTATTCAATAAACGGTGCTGGGAAAATCGGAGAGCCACATGAAAAAGAATGAAGCTGGATCCCTATCTCTTACCATATACAACAATGAACTCAAGATGCACCAAAGACCTAAATGGAAGACCTGAGATCATAAAAATTCTAGAAGAAAACATAAGACAAACTCTTCTGGACATTGGTCTTGGCAAATAATTTATGACTAAGACCCCCAAAAATAAATACAATGAAAACAAAATTAAATCAGGATTTAAAAAATGTGAATTTTGGATTAGGGAATCTATGATTTTTTTTTTTTGTCAAAAATTCAAACAGTAAA